GCTGGGCATCCCAGCCACGTGCTTTTGTTCGCTGGCTCTTTTCGCGTTTCTTTGTTTTCTCGGCCAGCCCCACTTGTAGTTGTCATTTGTTTGATTTGCCTACGGTTAGCCCGCCCTTGACAGGCTCTCTCGCCCGCGGCACGGTTGATTGGCGGCTGCGCTCGCGGTGGTCCGCCCGCTCTTCTTCCGCCTCTGTTCTCGTGCATCGTTTGGCTTGAACCTGATCCGCCTACGCGCTGTTTCTTGTCTCGACTGTTACATATTCATACAGTGGTAAAGCAGTTCGATGCACTCGTGGCCCGATGCTTTGTTCCGTGGTTTGGATTCCGCTGCGCGTTTGACGAACGTGAGTATGTGTGTGTGTGTGTGTTTGTGAGGGAGCTGCTCAGCTGCCGAATGCGTCTGGTGCTGGCTGGGGGTCCTGGTTCTTCGCCATAAAAGGTGGGCAAACATTCTGCGCAGTCCTCCAGCTCCTTTTCCTCCCCTCGTTTCCCTCCTCGTCTTCCTGCTCTCTGCCCCTCCTCCTCGTCCTGCTCCCCCATCCGTTTCCTCCTTTTCCCCTTCTCTCCGTTCCGCCCTCCGACGAGCGCTGCGGCCTCCACGCCATACCCCAGTGGACACGGGCGGGTTTCCGAGAGCGGACGGCGCACGTTTCCAGCGTGCCAGCCCTGGCGACGCCGCGACGGCTAGCAGCGCCGGGGGCGCGGCCGCCGCCTTGGAGGCCGCGGCAGCGGTTGCCGCCGCTGTCGCGCCGCCTGGGGTTCGGGGGCTCCGCGTCCGGGCGTTGCGGCTGGTTTACTGGCGCGGGCCTGGATGAGGCGCGCGCCCTTCAGGAAATTATCTGGGCGAAGGACCCAACCATAGGCAGTTGTGAGTACCGCCGTTGTGAGAACTACCTTCGGTGGAGCTCCCTATGGGCACGAAGCGCGCGAAGGGTGCGCTGCAATGGGACGGGGCCGCCATGCGGGCGCTATCGCTGGGGCCTTCGGTGGAGCTCCTTATGGGGCCACGAAGCGTGTACGGGTCGTGCCAAAATCAAGGGGGGCGGCATGCAATTCATGCCGGTGGGGCATTCGGTGGAACTCCCTGTGTTGCCACGAAGCGAGAGAGGGGTGGCGGCATGCGAACCATGCCACTGGGACTTTCGGTGGAACTCCTTGTGGGGCCACGAAACGTGTGGGGTGTGTGCCACAGTGGATGCGGTGTGTGCCACAGTGGATGCGAACCATGCCACTGGGGCCTTCGGTGGAGCTCCCTGTGGGGCCGCGAAGCGTGTCAGGGGTGTGCCAAATCCGTAAGGGCTTCGCCCCATGCCGCCGGCCCCCTGTCTCGGATAATGGGAGATGCAAAAGCTAAATCATGAGGTCTGGGCGCCGCCGTGAAGCAGTGTAGGGACCTGTTTGTTTTTCGACCCTGACCCTACGGATCTGCGTGAGGGGTGCCACCGAATTTCAGAAATGTGGCAAATCCCTTGTGTTTCTGGACCCTGACCCCGCCGATCTGCGTGAGGGGTGCCGCCGAATTTCAGAAATGTGGCAAATCCCCAGTGTTTTTGGACCCTGACCCTGTCGATCGGTGTGAGGGGTGCCACCGAATTTCAGAAATGTGGAGAATCCCTTTGGGTTTTCGGACCCTGACCCCGCCGATCTGCGTGAGGGGTGCCATCGAATTTCAGAAATGTAGCAAATCCCAATTGTTTTTGGACCCTGACCCCGCCGATCTGCGTGAGGGGTGCCACCGAATGTCAGAAATGTAGTAAATCCTTTGTGTTTTTGGACCCTGACCCCGCCGATCTGCGTGAGGGGTGGCAGCGAATTTCGGAAATGTAGCAAATCCTTTGTGTTCTTGCACCCTGACCCCGCCGATCTGCGTGAGGGGTGTCAGCAATTTTTTTGAAATGTAGCAAATCCCTTGTGTTTTTGGACCTCGACCCCGCCGATCTGCGTCAGGGGTGCCACCGAATTTCAGAAGTGTGGCAAATCCCTTGTGTTTCTGGATTCCGACCCCGCCGATCTGCGTGAGGGGTGCCGCCGAATTTCAGAAATGTGGCAAGTCCCTCGTGTTTTTGGACCCTGACCCTGTCGATCCGTGTGAGGGGTGCCACCGAATTTCAGAAATGTGGAGAATCCCTTTGGGTTTTCGGACCCTGACCCCGCCGATCTGCGTGAGGGGTGCCGCCGAATTTCAGAAATGTGGCAAATCCCATTTGTTTTTGGACCCTGACCCCGCCGATCTGCGTGACAGAAATGTAGCAAGTCCTTTGTGTTTGTGGACCCTGACCCCGCCGATCTGCGTGAGGGGTGGCGCCGAATTTCAGAAATGTGGCAAATCCTTTGTGTTCTTGCACCCTGACCCCGCCGATCTGCGTGAGGGGTGTCAGCAATTTTTTTGAAATGTAGCAAATCCCTTCTGTTTTTGGACCTTGACCCCGCCGATCTGCGTGAGGGGTGCCAGAAATGTGGCAATTCCCATGTGTTTTTGGACCCTGACCCCGCCGATC